ATGATGGCCATCAACATTCAACCTCTTTGTGATGCAATATAAGTAACCGAACTATGACCAAAAGAACAATATATGCAAATCAATTCCCGAAAACATTGATGCTAACACTTCAAGAATTCTGTATCCCCCAAATACTCAGAAATATTCCTTTTCTTGCAATGCATAAGATCAGCACAAGAACGAGAATTTGCATGTATATGATTATTTAAAAACCAATTGCCAGAACTCGATAAATGTGTGCAGTTCTACATCCTAAGATAGAGATATCAAAATCCAATGGATTAAGTTATTACATTACAATAAAATCAGTCTGAACACAAGGTACGACAACCAATTACTCTTTTTGAGTAAATCATACGAATGATAACCAGACAAAGTAAAGAGGAAGCATTAATGGATGAAGCAGGGCTTTCAAGAGAAACTTCAATTATTTCAAATATCTTTAAACGCCACGAACATGTCACCATTGATGTAATCGTTATCAACCAAGCTGACCAAAAAATAATTTCTTTGCACCTGCATGACCATAAAAATAAAAAATAAAAAAAAGGAAAAATATAGAGAAAAAAATTGAAGCAGTCCGGAGAATGACCAATATATGATAAAATTATAGGATAATATGAGAACTCTGACCTCTTCAAGTAATTTTGCGGATGGATCGCCTTCTGGATAGAGCTTCGCCCATCCTTTTGACCACGTTTCAAATGCTTCATCTTTCCATACAATGAAGCTGGCAGGATCCACAATGGTTGGTTGTATAATCTCCTTTGCTGGAAAGACTCCCCATGTCACCGCATTCACATCAGTTTGGTTGACATTGGAAAACCAGGTTCCGTCTTTATTGACGGCCATGTAGGTGAGGAGCGGGAAAGATTTGCATTTCTCAACCAAAGCGTTCAACTTCTGTGGAGAACAGAAAAATTCCAAGTATGCCTTTTGATAAACGTATCCACCAGGTCCACCCCATCCTGCAAAATCAAAATTAAATGCAAGAATAAGCAGGTGTTTTGAAATAACTCATTTATTGGGAATCTGGGATCTTTGAATTTTATTCATCACAGAAGTGTCCTTCTTTTGTTGGGCGGTATAAGAAAATACAGTGAATGATATAAGAGGATAATAACAGGGATAGAATGGCAATCAGACACATTTTTAGGAAATATGGAAGTTTCAATTGTAAATCTGATTTGAGGTTACATATTAACAGCATATAAGGACGCAGTCTAGAAAATTTAGTCCACCCAAATGGAATCATTATACTCCCATCACACTATATTGGCCTTATATAACACATAAAATCCAGAAAATTGTGTTCAATATCTTGAATGACACAGCAAAAGTCAACACTAATATATTGTTAAAAGAGAATATATCTTAAGATTGAAATTTATATGTAGAAAAAAAAAATACCTCTAAGGTCATATGTCCATATTTGAGATGATTCAGACAAAAAGAGGCTAGCTGATTCAATGTCTACCTACTTGACGAAGTAGCCCATTCTTCTTATCGATCAACTACCCCACAATCTAAGACAAATTGGTATGGACAGAAATGGAAGAGGATTCCTTCTAGGCCTGCCTTTTCCTTTCATATTCATGGTAGCAAATTTGAGAGAGGGTGGAAAGAAAATGTGCTATAAATGTCCCCGTCTTGGGTATAGGGGTTAATCAAAACCCATTTTTTGCAAGAAGAAGAACTGCCAAGAAACATCAATTCTGTTCAAGTTCTCAGCAGCTTGATCATCGACTCAGCTTTGCTCATCATCAAAGATGCATCAATCAATCTATAAATGATGTCGACCATAGTGGAGATCAATGAATTGGAGTAGAATTTGATTGGTTTCTTTCAGGGGGAAGCGGTATAAGGTTAAAAATGGATAGCCCTCATATGCATCTTCCCCAATCTGACATGATCCAATGATAAGGAGTAGGCTTGGGAATTGGAATCTTAAGTTTCTTCTCTCTTCCACAAGTATTACCAGAAATTGAACAGGAAAGAAAACTCCATTTCACTCTCATATCTCATCTAAACAAAATAATATAAAATTAAATTAACTTCTCTTCGCTTTTTCTTTTCTTCACTAGTGAACTCTTCCATCGTGTGTTTTAATTTAGTACACGAATCTTGTGCACTCCATTGCTTCACAATTTTTATTCACTGAATGCAGGTATCTTTAACATTTATGCAGCCTTGAACCTAATTTAACTTTATACAACAAGGTAATTTAACTGCAGACATTCAAATGTTGATGGCTTCATATATTGCTTGAATACGTATACATAATATCTCCAAATTAACAAATGAACACAAATGAGAGAAAGGAAAAGACGGAATATTACCAACAGTTGGAGAATCAGACTTTGCACCATTAACTGCTGGTTGGCTGTTGATGGTGAGAAAACCTTTCAAGTTTATGTTACCAAGTTGTTCGTTAATGATCTTTGTCTCTGGCTGAAGCCCGTCTAGTTCGGACCAAGGACTACTTCTCAGTTTCCCAAGACAGAACTTCATAAATTTCTGATGAATGAAAACTTCCATAAGGACCAGCTTTCATAACCACTAGATTTTAAATAACAGATTCTAGACAGAAAACCATACCTCGTAAATATCTGTGACATTTTTCAAAGGAACAACCCATTCTTCATGAAGTTTCTTATCGCGTGATCGTGGTCGCATGAACTGTTGGGAAATTGAGGATTGGATCAGATATTAATAACTTTACCTCTTTGCAGGAAAATAAGAAGAAAATCAACTGTGCGATCATGAAGAAAGGATAGTATTTTGTGGAGAAATAGTAACACTCAAGTTGCACGAAGCTACATTTCGAGAAATCAGTAAAAGAGGGTGAAAATAAAAGAAAATTTGAATAGAGAATAAGAATTTGAAGGTTCATTTATCATTTGGCCAATTTTATTAAATAATTACGCAGCAATATAGAGGTCGCAATATTTATACAAAAAAAGGGTTTGGATGATTAATTGAGGCTCTATTGTTGAAGTGATGGTCTTCCCACTTCATTTAGACCATCTCCAACCCTGCATCAAAATTTGAGATAAGTTTTGCACCATATTGCATCAAATTTTGTGCCAAATTAAAAATCATCTCCAACCCAATATACCAAAATTATACCAAATGAACATTGTTCATTGTTTCTTTCATTTTTTCATTCCTAACAATTTATTTATCTCAAACATTATTTACTTTATTACGACAAATAATTACGTTTGGTTAACGAATATATTGAATTCATTCCTTAATTATTATTGATTACAGGATTGAGGCCCCATTTGGGAGTGATTTTGAGAATTGATTTTTTGAACACTATGAGAAAAGTGGGGGCCACCTGTAAGAAAAGAAGTCAAACTTTATGGCTAGAACAGTGAAATAACGTTAAAAAAATCAATTTTTTGGGAGTGAAAAATCACTCCCAAACGGCCCTTGAAATTTATTACAAATGCACATAACATTATAATGATGATGATGATGATGATGATACGTTGTATAACAAAAAATGGACACAAGTACTCTTAACAAAAAAATTTATACAAAATGGAAAAGAAAGACAAAAAGGACATTAACCATTTTGTATCAAAAATGGTACAAAAGTATGGTGTTAGGTTGGAGCAAGTTTGCATCCTTTTTTGGTACAAAATGGTGCTTTGAGATGTTGGCCATCTCCAATACTATCCCAAAACACCATTTTTGCACCATAAAATAGTGTATACCATAGTTTGCACCATTTGGTGCAAAATGGTGCAAGTGAATAGTGTTGCATCCATCGAAACTTTAATAATATAATCAATAATAATTAAGAATTTTTTAATTTAGTAATTATTTTCGTTAATTTACTAATTATTTATAATAAATTAATAATAGTATCAACAATTTAACGTAATACATAAACCAAGTGAATAATTTAGTAATCAATGATAATTCCATATTTTCGTTAATTAATGTAATTATTTATTTAGTATTTATGTAATTGTAAAATAAATAATTTTTTCAAATAAATAAATATTCTAAATTCGAAAAAATGAAGAAAATGATTAAACAATGTTCATTTAGTATAAGTTTTGGTGTAATAGGTTGGAGATGATTTTTAGTTAAATACAAGATTTGGTGTAAAACTTACCTTAAATTTTGGTATAGCGTTGGAGATGATCTAACATCATTCTTTGTACCATTTTTTGGTGCAAAGTGTTGTTTTGGGATAGCATTGGAGAGGGCCAAAAAATGTGCAAACTCTCCAACATGCATCATAATTTGCACCATTTTTTTATTATTATTATTTTTTTTTTTTGTTGTTGCAAAAATGGTGTTTCAGGATAGTATTGGACATAGCTAAAAAATGGTGAAAAGTATGGTCCTAAATTGGAGAGAGTTCACTCCATTTTTTATGCAAAATGGTGTTTTAAGATATCATTGGCAATGGCCAAAAAATGGTACAGAGTATGGTGCTCGGTTGGAGAGAGTTTGTATCATTTTTTGCCATCTCCAATGCTATCCCAAAATACCATTGGTAAAAAATGGTGAAAGCTTTCCCCAACCGAGCACCATACTTTGCACCATTTTTTGGCCATCCAAAAAAGGTACAAAGTATGATGCTACATTGGAGAGAGTTTGCACCATTTTTGTGCAAAATGATGTTTTGGGATAACATTGAAGATAACAAAAAAAATGGCGTAAAGTATGGTGCTAGATTAGATGGAGCAAAATGGGGTTTTAGGATATCATTAGAGATGGGTGCAAACTTTTTCCAACCTAGTACCATACTTTGCACATTTTTTTGGTACAAAAAGGTGTTTTGGTATAACATTAGGAGATGGTTAAAAAATAGTTCAAAATATAGTACTAGATTGGAGAGAGTTTGCACAATTTTTGTGCAAAATGGTGTTTTGGGATAGCATTGGAGATTGCCAAAAAAATGGTTCAAATTCTCTCCAACCTAGCACCAATTTTTGTGTAAAATGATGTTTTGGATAGTATTGGAGATGGCCAAAAAATGATTCAAAGCATCACTTGGTTGGAGAAAGATGCTATTTCCAACTTAGTACCATACTTTGCACCATTTTTTGAATGCAAAATTTTGTTTTGCGATAGCATTGGAGATGGCCAAAAAAAAGGTGCAGACTTTTTTCAATCTAGCACCATACTTTACACCAAAATGATTAATATCCTTTTTGCCCCTTTTTTAATTTTGTATCAAATTTTTTTAATGGTATTTGTTTTTTATTATACAACAAATTATAATAATTATTGTTACTATTACTATTATGTGCATTTGTAATAAATTTTAATGATATGATCAATTATAATTAATGAATAAATTCAATATTAATGAATTCAATATTTTTATTAACAAAACGTAATTATTTATTTAGTAATTTGTGTCGTAAAAAAATAAATAAATAAATTGTTAAGAATGAAAAAATGAAGAAAATGATGAAACTTTTGTGTGTGTGTGTATGTGTGTGTGTGATTTTTGATGTATTGAGTTGAATATGATTTTTTGTTTGGTGCAAGATTTAGTGCAATATGCAAAACTTACCTTAACCCAATTTATTGATCTTAGTAATCCTCTGATCCATTTTCTAAGTTGTCACCATCACTTGACTGATTTATACAAAAAGAGGCTCTAGCAAGCTATATTTAGATATTTGTAAATCATTACATTCTTGGTAACCGAGGAAATTATATTAATTAATCAAAAAAAATAGGAAAATAGTTGAGCTTGGTGACTGGCTAAGATATAGTGTCATAGTGGTCTAATTCTCTGGAGTTGCAGTTCAATTAACTGTCCCCCGTGAGCTGTGCAGCATGCCAGGAATTATTGGGGAGACATTTCTAGATTGCAAAGATATAGGCTATTGTCAAGATAGAACCCATATACTACCCTTTTCGTGTTTGCCACGGAAGCTCACTACCATGGCATCAGACTAGCAAAAACGCAAAACCACTAAAATCGCCGTAGTGTGATAAACAATAGATTGTGCTTGCACAAAGACTACAAATCAAAGGGCTAGGGTGCAATCATTTGTACTTGCCTGATAATCAGTGAGGGCTCCATATGATGCATTTCGAGAATCTCCCCATCGTCCATTTGGGTATTGCTCCCAACCTATAGTCCGTGAGATGTAGCTTTTTGGACGATTAGCCCTATAGTAATAGCAACAACAGATCATATGAGTACATATTTTCAGTAACTACAGAACTATATGGCATCTACTAGAAGAGCCAATTGCATTATATACCAGAATATAGGACGAACATCTTCCTTGACACGGAAAATATTTGTGGGACGTCTCCAAGGCAAGGACCTTGAAATTTTCGATTCCTCGATCAGCCCAAGATTCTGCATGTGCAAGTCCATATAAGTTCATATTATATGTGCAATAAGCATATCAATGATACTTTCAGGTTGAAGCTGCACAGTTGACTAAACCAACCATCAATATTGCCAGTGCAGATTTTTCCATGTTTAACGTGTAAAGATGCAATGTTTTGATCCCACTAGCCAAAATCTTCTTGCACATTTCTGTTCCAAGGTGAATTCCATATGCCTTAACAGCTTCTTCATTGTCCTTGATGGGATCCAAAGCAGCTGTAATCTCATCGGGTATCTACAATATGTCAATAGAAAATAATTAAGTATATGCATTAACGGCATAAGCACCTTAGAAATCCTTGAGGTTCCATATTTTCTCTAGTAAACAAAACATGTAAGAGAAAGAACACTACAAGGAAAACGCGAACTATCACGTGGTCAACAAAATATCAGACCTATACAATAATCAAATTCCACGGTGATTATTAGATAAGAAGGTTATCCCTGTGATAGAAGCATGGCAAGGATACACAAAATCAAATTAACATTATGTTGAAAAGGCAGATCGATGGGTTGAAAGAAAGAAACTAGATGAGAAAACAGTAGTAGATTTCAAAGGAGATGCTCTATTCGACCTTAATAACTAATAAATTTCATATGATAAGAGGTGGAAAGAGAGTGAATTGATGGATTCAGCTGGAAGTTCTACTAAAGCATACTCTTAACATGCAATACAATTCTCCAGATGACTCTTCCAAAGCCTAGTCTCAACCTCCAATTTCCTTTCATTCACTTCTAACAGATTGTGAGTACGAATGAACAGAACCATGTTAAGATGGTGAAAGAGCCACGTAACTGGAGATGTGTTGGTTCTGTGATAATATTGAACTAATCATAGACGGTCATTAAGATATATGTTACCTTAACATAATTGTGATAGCAATGGATTTTCTTTAAATAACAGAAAGAACAAAGATCAAAAAACCAGAATCTAATTGTAGAGTAAAATTATCTGCCTGTCAAGTTTCTTGTTTTTTAAAGATATTATGCCCCAGTATGGTAGAGATTCTTTAAAACTCATTTTTCTCAAACTAATTTTCAACCACACATTCTCCTAATAAAATAATTTTGCACGCAAACCCATTTTCCTACTTTTTAACACACATTCTCGGAAAAAAAAATTGCTTTTCGCAAAATTTATTCTCAAAAAGTCTACATCGAGCAAGCTCTATATACATATATGAAAATGAACTACCTGAACTCTGTACAAAAATAATTTCCTGGCTTCTCAACAGCTAGCAATTTAACATGAAATATAGGCCAACATAGTTATATGAAATTGGTGCGGTTGATATCTTGACAGCTTACCTAGTTTTACCAAGTACGGTGCATACCTTAGTTTTACAAAAACCAGTCATCCGGATGAAGCCCTTGTAATTGTTGATGGGCATAATCCCTGGAACAATGGGACAGGTAATTCCAATTTGACGACAGTCATTGACAAATTTAAGAAAAATATCGGTATCATAGAAGAGTTGGGTTATAATAACTTCGCCACCAGCATCAACCTGAAGTAGAAAAGTCCATAAAAATGGGAATATGAAATTCTAATCATCACATATTCACATTCTTTTCATTCAAAGATAATTACTAATATTTTGGGAAGAATGGAACAACCTTTTTCTTAAGATAAGCAAGTTCATTCTCATACGCCTCTTCCGTAACCACTCCATTTTGAATCACATCAGGATGTCCCTCTGAAAAAAAAAAAAGTATACATTATAAACAAAGTCCACTAGGATATTTGAATTCTTGGAGCATAGCAATATTGAATAGTACTTATATATAATGCATATGTAGTTCATAAACAAAAGAAGCAATTTGTATCATTGTTCAAGCTACTTCTAAACTAAGAATCAAGAAATGATCACAGCGAAAATGAGCAAGATAAGAAAATAACTTTGCGTTAGATGCTTTCGTAGAGAGAAAATGAGTCTGTAACCCAACCTGGATAACCAGCAACAGTGATCCCAAAGTAATCACCATATTGGGCACGGATATGCTTCACCTGCAAACAAACAGACAATCAATCAAACACATAATTAGCCACTTCCCAACGAGATACAACTAAAGCAAAAGGGCAAAATTTCGCATAAAAATGTACTAAACAATGAAGTAGAAACAAAATGAGCTTAAAACCAATCAGATCTACAGATTCCGTACACAATAGAGGTGAAAATGAGACACTTACAAGGTCGAGAGCGCAGGCGAACCCACCCTCAACCTTGACGAACTTGTCCTGGCCGTGAGGGGGGTCACCGCGTAAAGCAAGGACATTCTGTATCCCTTTCGACTTGATAGTAGATAGCGCGTTGTCAATCTTCTCAACAGGCATGTTTGTGCAGGTAAGATGCATCATAGTCTCCACACACACCATGTTCTGCATCCTGTTAGAAATCTCCAGCGTCAGGTCCGCCGTGGAACCACCAGCTCCCCATGTTATATCGCAGAACGACGGGTTGTGCACCACCATCCGCTCCATTCTCTCGAAGAGATTGTCGACGCCATCCTCCGTCTTGGGCGGGAAAAACTCGAAGGAAAACACAACCCTGTTCGCATCATTAGCTGCCGCATCCCGGATCTTCTCTATAACCTTCATTTTCTACGATTACTATTACAAATTCAATCAAAATTTCAAGTAATTGCTCAGTAATATGATCTGGGTAGGCTCAGGCTGCCAACAAATCTCACAAATTACTGAGAATTCGATCAGATCTACAATGTGTGGAAGAATTTGAGTGTGGTGGGGAATATATACGGAAATGAGCCAACTAATCTACCAACTTTTTTGCTATGCTCCCCCCTCTGCTTTGCCGCGATTGGATTGGTAATAGTAGAAGAGGTGGGTGTGGGTAAAGAAGTATAGATCCATTTTACTGGGCCCCACGTTTCCCAACCACCCCCGAGGAATTTCGTTTTCCACTACTCGCCAACTTCCGATTTATCGTCATCGCTATTTTTAGAAACAGTGAAACCTTCACCCATCTCCATTATATAATCTATGAGTTCTGCTTCTGAGCCAAGCTCAGAAACAGGGTAAAAAACAGGGGGCTGAGGTGGTCCAGATCCCATACATTTTTTTTTTTCAGATTCGACGGCCGAGGTGCAAACACTTCGGCACCCTGTTTTTTGGCCTGGACAAGAGGCATTTTCGATAATCTATTTACAAGAAAATGAAAAAGAACCAACCTAGTCTCGACATGTGTCCAAAACTCCAAATGATCGGTTAAGAAGTAGGAGGAAGTTCCGATCAACCAAGGTTTTTGATACATAAATTCACTATTTTTATGAAAGTTGATTTTGTAATTAACTTGTTTAGACAACTTACCGTGCATTTGTTACAAGTATCAAAAGAGTCTTGAGACAAGCAATATCTTTTTGTATATATTAAGAATGTGATCTTAACAAGTGGACATTTCGTCATCAAGCACCATCCATCAACTAAAACAAAGGATTAGGGTGCGGTTGGTTTCCATTTTCATTTTCTAAATGATTTTTAGTTTTCCCCAAAAATAACCCGTTTTCCGCGTTTTGAGCGTTTTTGACATTTATAACTAAAAACGATAAAAAATCGTTTTGCGTTTTCAGTTATAAATTTTAACTCGTTTTCGAAAATGCTTTTTCGAAAACGACGGACCCAACGCGTTTTTCGCATTTTCGAAAACGAAAAATGGAAAATGAGCCGAAAACGGCAAACCAACCACGACCTTATTGTCTTGACGTGATATGCATCTTACACTCTTCAAGTTAATCTGCAAGAAAAGCATGTCGATGTATTCATGTAGTATGTTACACCTAAGAGATCCAATGAATAACTAAATAACAAATAATTCAACTACTTGCATTTTTTAGTGAGTTGACGGGAATATTTATGTGTTGTCTTTGCCTAATAAGAAAATAAGAGATTCAGTGAATAACTAAATAACAAATAATTCAACTACTTGCATTTTTTAGTGAGTTGACGGGAATATTTATGTGTTGTCTTTGCCTAATAAGAAAATAAGAGATTCAGTGAATAACTAAATAACAAATAATTCAATTGCTTGCATTTTTCAGTTAGTTGAGAGGAATATTTATATATGTTGTCTTGGTCTAATTAGAAAATAAGAATTTGATTGGGTGATATATGATGCACGATCTTGATCAATATTTGATTGCTCAAGAAGAGATCTTGCAACCATGTATAATGTGGATCCTCTAAGATCCCATTGATATGGCTAAAAATTGGTTTTTAGGCATCATATCTAGTCTTCAAGGAAGGTAATCGTTGAATTCTATTTAGAGCACTCAAAATGTGCTTACTTTTTTGAGTGGTAGGACGTTTGAGTCGTGTCCATACTTTGTCAAAATCTAATTTTAATATTTTAAAAAACAGGACAAGTTTATACAGCACGATATGAAGTATTAACCACAACAACATGAATACAAAGATGATAATTTAATTTGGGAGAGGATTTGGAGATTTTATTCATCTATAAATGGAGAGTTAATACAATAATTGTGTTCCTACACAATAATTCTAACTTCCAGTAATGATTTAATTGTAAAGAAAAGACTACTATTTATAGGAGTACACGTCAAATCCTAATAATAGTCCAAAAGATGAAAACTATGTCAAAAACGCATGTAAAATGAAAAAGGAGAAAATAATTTGGCGGTGTGCCACTCGAGCACTGGCCTGACGCTAGCAACCCTCTAGCAGAAGGCACACAAAAGGCTATTTACTCCAAAATCAGCCCTACCACTCGAGCAGTGGGTGAGCAGTAGGCTAGCATCGTTATATCTATTTTTTATCTTGGACCCTACTTTGTCATCTTCAAGTCAAATACTCAAAACTTACCCTAGTCCAAATTTGGATTAAGAAACCCAACAATCTCTACCTTAACACAAATTCCACTGCAACGAACAAGGATCCAAAATTTCTCCACCTTGAGAAAATTTCGATTGTAAGGAATGAACTTAACTCTTCAACAATAATAAACCAATTTCTCCAATGAACCAAAAAATAATCTACCTTTTCCACATATCCAACTAGGATACATGAATCCAAGCACTACTCCGTAGAATAATCTTAAAGTTCCCAAAAGTCATAAATAATTTAAAATTTACCAATCGAAATCGAAACATACCCTGAAATAGAATCAACACTAAATGATTTTATAGAAAGCCCTTGCTAGACTGAACACTTTCAAGTGCACTACAAGTGTGCACAACAAAATCAGCTTTCCTATACTTATCTCTATTGGATCTATCCCTAATAATTGAATACGATGATATTGCAGGTAATGGTGGCCAAGCGGCATTACCCACATCCCTTGAATTCAACTGAGTTGTATTTTTTTAACACAACTCCAAACCAAATCCAACAATAATATACCAAACCGAATATCTGCTATGGTACTAAACATTTACTGATTATTTTTCAACGATTCCATACGACCTTCCAAGATGTATAATTGAAACTTTTTTTACCTTGCCAATACAACAACTACACATTTACAAACCTTCAAAATTCTACCTTTACAAATGAACTCGTACTCTTTTAAATCAAAAGTAGCCAACGAAATCAGATTTTTTTTCAAATCTGAAACAAGTCGAATGTGGTCAAGTGGTTTAAATGTCCCATCCAATAGTTTAAGTTTGACTCTATCAATACCAGCTACTAAACTAGGTGCATTATTTCCTATGCTATCATACCTTTTGAAACTGTTTCATATGTTGCAAATAAATCCCAATTGAAACACATATGAAAAGCACGAGCTGAATCCAGAATTCAATTCATGTCTAGTTTAGATTTATCGTCAGAAATAAACCAAAAGACCCCTATCACTCAAATAGTCCTCTACAACATCAGCTTCGCCTAAACTATTTGATTGTCTTCTCTTTTTATTTGCAACCAACTTATCGTTATTCTGCAACTTATTGCAATCTCTTGATGTGTTCTATTTTCTTGCAATAAAAAAAACCTGATCGCTGAAATTAGATTTTGACATGCTCCTTCCGTGACCATCATGAACAACAAGACCTTCCCCATCTCTAGCCTCGAATCTAACTAGATTTTTTATCTTCTCCTTTGAAAATAAAGTAAAATATGCATTTTCAATAGTGAGAGTACCACGACTATACAAGATCGTGTCTCTACACTAAGTGGGCAATGAGCACAAAAGAATTAAGACCAAATCTTCTTCGTCATACTTTATCTCGAAAGTCTAAAGTCTTCAAATTAGTGACGATTTCTTTAAAAACAGCCAGGTGATCTTCCAACGATCCACATTTTGTCATGCAATAAGAATACAACATCCGCTTCGAGTACAATTTGTTTGTCAGACTCTTAATCATGCACAATTGGTCCAACTTCAACCACGACGCAGTTGTCATTTTCTCCTTCAAAACGTCCTGAAAAATATTATTTGAAAGATGTAAGATGAATTTATGAAAGTGTCTTCCAATTCTTCTATTATTTTTCCTCCATCGTCCAAAATGTGGGCATTTTGTCAAATTTCAACAACGTGTTATTCAAGTCCATCTGAGCTAGTACTGCTTGCATCTTCACCTATCTCAACGAGAATCTAGTATGCGATCCAAAAACAGAATGTTATACTTCATGGTTGTCATCAAAAATAAAAAAAAAATCTCAAACAAATCAGATTAAAGCTCTGATACCACTTGTTAAAAAGGGAACGAGGTTATACGACAGGATATGAAATATTAATCACAACAACAAGATAAACACAAAGACGAGTTTAATTTGACAGAAGCACTTCAGATTTTATTCAATAATTATAATAGAGGGAAAATACAATAATTGTATTCTTACACAATGATTCTAAGTTTCAGTAATGATCTACTTGTAAAAAAGGGTTTACTATTTATAAGAGTACATGCCAAACTCTAATAATAGTCCTAAAGGTGGAAACTAGGTAAAAAAACGTGTAAAATGAAAAAAGAGAAGAAGAAAAATATGGCGGTGCACTGCTCGAGCTCTGGCCTCACACCAGGAGAGCACCAGTAGTGCCGTTCTAGGGGCTCTCTAGTGATAGGCGAGTGAAAGGCTCCCTGCTCCAAAATCTACCCCATCACTGGAGCGACGGACAGGCAGTAGACTAGCACCGTCACACCTATTTTGCCTTTTGGACCCTATTTTATCATCTTCAATCCCAATACTCCAACTACACAAATTCGAGTTTGAATTTGGGTCATAAAACCAAAAAAAATATCACGACTAAAATTGATTAATTAGTAATACAAAGTCAAAATAATTCATTTTTGTTAGGACAATAACTAATGACCAAAAGTTGAGACGTGCCCATTTAATTTCACGTCTGATATTGCTTAATCCATCTTGTGTCATCGTTGCATTAAATTGACTATATATTCTCATGTATGCTTGCACTTCTAGACTTTAGTGAAATGTGCTGTTTATACTCAACTACTTTTTTCATTTTATTATAGCAATTATAAGAACTCTTATAATCTCGTCCTTCGGAAGGTCAATTAAATTTATTTTGTTAATCGCTCTCATACTGATTTTTTGATTTTTGATTTTTTAAGAATATGTAATTAAAAAGTAGGAAGAAAAGTTGCAAATTCATGTACAGAAGTATTTTATTGAAAATTGTATGATTAAAAATAATTTTTAAAATTATCAATTTCAAACAATGGTTTCTACAAGAGATTTCGTTTTATTCAAAGCATCGCTCTTCATATTATCGAAAAATAAAATTTAAAAATAAGCATTTTTTCTAAAGCTTGACCAACAACGTTCATTATTTAATCAATGTGACTGCATTCAAATATTACGATTCCGTTTTTTAATAATT